CGAAATAGTATCGGGTGAGGGCGGAGGCCACGGAAATGTTCCATCACGCCGAACCCAGCCCTCAGGAATAGATATGTCAAGAAATTATCAGGAAATACGAGTCCAGTGTGGGGGTTGCAGCATCTTCCTGGAACACCGCATTTGTCTGATGATCTTCCAACTGGAGTAAAGATACAACTGCAGCATATCCAAGTAGGTTACCGCTGTCACTGTTTTTCGGCAAAGGAGAAGTGTTCCGAAACTTCCAAACTTGTCAAAAACATCTATCTCTTTTGATTTGTCGAATGACGTGTGGGTTTTCTGATCCATATATTCTGCAGCTATGACGATTTATCCTCCATAATGCATAAAACGTTACTTCATCACTGAATATCCATCTCCGAAGGTAATTTTCTTCAGCTTCGACTTTTGAAATAATGTGTTTGGTAAATTTGAAGCGGTGGTGTTTACCGTCCGTCTTGAAAGCCTGCATAATCTGTACTGTGTAGGCATTGAGGTGAAGGTCACGGAAAATCCGACGGTAATTTAGGATAGCATTATTTATTGTATTGCATTGCTAACTTATAGCAAAGGAAAATCTTCTCTGTATTTCTAGAGGATACTAGAAACTTTTATGACGAAAATCAATCGTCGTAGTACTCGAAGGATATTCTACAGTACAACCAATATGTGAATTACAGGAAAAATAAAGAAGACCAATACAGTTTATTTGCCATCACAGTTTATATTATTACAAATAAATACCACACAGATACAAGTCACAACAATTTACATAATACGTAAATGTGCAATTTGTTGATTTTCTGTTGTTTGCTTAAGCGTGTCCTTAAACATGTTCGCGGTCTGGCCGTGTTCATAAAATAAGGCACGACACCTTAAACTACAACAATATAAATCGTAATTCTAGCTATGTACGTACAAACAGGAAACATATTTAAGTATCGAAAATATGTAAGTCTTAACGGATATCAGTGGCAAAAACATGTATATAAAATTATGTTTGTAGCATTTATGATAGAAGGACAGATAAAACACAGTTATTAAAATAGTATGAGTAATATTATATCGACTCTGATTAATACCTTCCTTGGCTTAATTATAAATTTTTGGAAGATTGTGGAACGAAAATCGGGCTGTTAATTTTCAGCCTTTCATTGCGAAATAAGGACCCGCTCCGGTCTTTATATTTTTCCTGAAATTTGTCTTAACTCGGAAACTGTAAGAGAGTTCTGTACAAAAGTCTCGCCTGTATTTCTTAAAATTTCAGTCAAATACACTGATTATATATCTGCAGAGATCTGATTTGTCTTCTCTTTTTTGATGATAACATAGAAAGTATCCACGTCCGCAGTAAAATATTAACAGTCTTCTTTGAAACCGCTTTCGTAATGGTAACCAAATATAAAGCCGTTATCGCCATGATAGTAACATATATTAGGCAAAACGACAGAAGTCATTCTCTAAAGTTCAGTGAATGAAAGTGTAATATTAATGGGTTTAAATTTATAGTAATAAATTTGAACAGTTTGCGGAACTGGACGGGTTTAAAGGATTTCCGTTATTATTTATTCATTCATATTTAATATCTAAAATAATATATATATAAGAATTTTTTGGATTGGTCGCTTGTGTACGTCTGTAATAGCTATTTTGTAAGATCGGATTTCAAAATAACGAAAACTCTGCTTTTATTTGAGAGTGTACTTCGTGATAATTGTAGAATTTCCGCCTTCATTTTGTCAGCATTCACTAACAAATCAATTCAATATTGGTATTAAGTGAGATTCCCACGAAAAACAAAATTGAAGTCATAAGAAATAAATTTTTCACAATTTGCTTACAATATTTAATCAACGGTTTTCAAAAATAAATCCAAACGAAGAATCGTCCGAATTATTTCATAGCCTAAATCATTCAGAAACATCCTTAAATAAAATAAGAAAAGACAACAAAATCCGTGGCCTGTAGTCCGCAAGCGAACTATACCGACCGAGAGACCGCCGCTTGTCGGCGAAATTAGTACCAACTTCTGCGGAGAGAGAGTGTCACGTGGTCAGCGCAACGGATCCCCACGGCCGTCAATCTTGGTTTTCTAGACCGTAGCCGCAATTTTCCTTGAAATATCTCCTCAGTTATCATCACGAGGGTGTGTGGACCTCTTCAAATAATTCTAGCAAAATTAATTATAACGCTATTATATTTCTAGATTCCGGTATACAACCTGGCAGATATTAAATTAAATTTGTATCTCAAACTGAGACTAAACAAATAGGGAAAACAGCGAAAACCACACTAATGACTAACTGGACGGGTATTCAAAAAGGGAAGGAACGAGGCTTGTGATACGTGTGGCAACAGCGCTGAAGATTCCAATTCCGCTCTTTATCTGGCTTCGAATATCAACACATTGCCACTATGCTCGCTTCACAGCAGAGATCCAGAGTTCTATCTATAGCCTAATTGTCCATATGTTTGGTAGTTGTCCAGCCAGTCCACATGCAAATCCATGACTAACGCTTTGGACACTTCCATCCCGACACTTTCGGAAGAAATTGACTCTTTTTTGTATTTTTAACTGCGTATGCCTGCGCAGAATTGCGCTATTTTCACTTGTGCAGACATCGCTTTTAGCTTTATTCTTTATGACTTTTTAATTTAACTGTTTTAGTGAAGGCTCTAAAACAAAAGTAGAGCCAGTTTGTCTGAAACGAGAATATTTTGATTTGTACATGACTAATATAAATAGTAAAAAAGGCAAAAGTATATGTATCCTTGTAACAGTCCATGAACGTCCATAGGGTTTGAGACGTCGAGGATCCCACACTTTCTAGAGAATCGGCTCGCAGATGACGGTGACGTGGTTAGCCTTACGCGCCGGCCGCCCTTTGTGCCCCAGGAAGATTCCTGCTACTCATTTCTGTTAGACGCTGAGTCGATCCCAGGGTCATAGTGCGTATGGAGGGATTAAGTAAATTGAAAGAAATCCACCTAATCGGGATTCGATTCCGCGACCTTCCGACTTGTAGCATAGTGTCTCAACCAACTACGCTACCGCGTTCACCTTAAATGAATTGTATTAATGTTAATTTTTAAGTATCAGAGAAGAGCAATTTTTAGTTAAAATTAAAAGCAATGAGATCAAAAGAAACAGAAAATTGAGGTTATGCGACACTCCTCAGAATGTCGTTGCCTATGTCGGGGTATACCTGTAATTTATTAATTATCATAATTACTACAGAGCCTGTCTCTAGACCTGGTTCAGACCCAGTTAAACCCAGTTTATATAATCACAGCCATTTTTCTGATCCTTATTTTAATATTTCTCATCTATTTCTTGGTCTTATAAATAGTCGTTCTACACCGAGGTTCTCGCACTCACACTCTACACACTTGTTGTTTACCCGTGTGGGATAAATGATTAATCCATGGTAAAATCCTTCATTTAGTTACCTTAATAATACTAGGAGACTGTGTAAGGGACGAAAGTTTTGTACGAGTATTTTTAACCTTTCCTTGGAATTAGTTTTCATGACTGGATAATTCTTCAGCCGCAGTAAATTCTACAGTTTGCTTAATGTCGCTCATTAAAGTAATTTCTGATATATACTTTTATGAATAAGGTCCAGTGATGAACACTAATAATACATGCGCCCAAATACGATTCATTCATTTCACAGCATAAGAACAGTGGACACATGTACACCACCGGAGTGGTATACATGTATTATGAATGTATATTTTGTTATACGTGTTTCATGCCCAATCCATCTATGTGTTCTTTTACTGTAGATGCAATTTTACATTCGCATTTAATCAAGTATTCTCCAGGTTCAAAATTCTTTCGAACGAATAAAGTGGGCCATACTTGTCAAAGGTTTCATCAAGAAGGGATCGCTGTCTCTACAAGTGAAAACTTCTTCACAGCAGGCCCAGCAGTATAACACACGCAGTCACAGGATTAAGACACAACACAAAGCACAAAACACATGAAAGTAGGAAGAATACTCCGACAGAAGAAGGTAGGTGTGACTCGCGTACTGAAATACGACATAAGGGTGACAAATCCTGAACACTTTTAACATTTTTAATATTTAAAATTTAGTAATATATATGATAAATATATATTTTAGTTATTTTAGTATAAAGACAACAGGACATACAATGAAGTACAATTCAGTTCAATTCAATTCATTTATTTCATCCATAGCTGTAGAAATTACAATNATGTGAAATAAATGATTTTAAACCCTTTGAACTAATTCTTTGAATACGTAATTACATAAAAAGTTTATTTGTTTCTGAATACAAATAGAAATGAATGTTATATTACATAATGCAAGCCACCATCATCAACATGGGAGCTTTCATCTGCTGATAAATACGAACGTTTTCAAAATTAGGTTTTTAATGGGCTTAAGATGCCTTTTCCTGGCACATACGTAATGGGTGAAGTACAAATACGTTTCAAGTACAAGCGAATTCACATTAATAAACTGGGAGGTTCATGCACTAATGCTTTACGGAAGTGCGGTGTTTCCAGATCTACACAACTGCTTGTTAAGAATTTATTTCGTTTTGCAATTAAGACTCAACCGTTCCTGGCAGGGAAACTGTAAAATTTTGGAGATGGTGCCTGGCACGTGGAAAACCTTAGACTGATATGATCTGCGGGTAAAGGAGTTCTCTGTACTTTTGTCAGCAGGGCACAAGGAGTAACCCTTCAGAATATTTAAATACATCTCTGAAAACAGGGACATCCTACAGATACGTTTATGAGCCTGTGATCTAAATCTCTCTCTCTCTCTCTCATTCCAGTAATCTATGAAAGCACTGGCGGTCACGGTAGCCGAGAGGTCTAAGGCATGCACTGTCTTCGCTCGCTCGGAAGCTGGGATCGTGGGTTCGAATCTCACTCAGGGCATGGATGTTTGGTGTTCGTGTATGTGCGTTTTTCTGTGTTTGTGTACAGGTAGAGAGGCTTTACGACGAGCTGATCATCAGCCCAAGGAGTCCTACCGAATGCCTAAGATCTAGTAAACCGAAGTGAAACGGAGAGTTTCATGAAGGTAGGCCAAGGAACAAACTGAGGCTGTAGCGCTAAAAGGGGAATAAAGAAAGCAGTGAAGATTAACAGAAAACTGTAAGGAACTTTCTAATACTTTTCACAGTTAACTGCGGCCTCACTTTAATCCTGTAATTAACCATTCTGTTTCCATCACAGCATTTGTTAAACTTGCGAAATTCACTGCACGATCTTTCAGTTAATGATGCACTCGACTTTCCTGGTCTACATCCCCCTCGACAGGTTAGTTAGGCCAGATACCTTACAGTTAATCTAGGGGTTTTACCCGAGGTGGACCCGAGCATTCTCCGCATTCACAAAATCTGAACCACTAGGAAGATGAATGTGCCAAACCCGCAAGACTCCGGTTGGCTACAACCCGAGACATTAACTAAGGCGTCCAGCGCCTTACATCTAGGAGACCCGCTCTTTTGTTCGGAACCGTATTTGCGGGCTTAGTGGCAGCTCGTGAACTGCTGTTCAACTAGGGCGATTCCGGACAGGAGAGTTCCAAATAAAGCAACTATCCATTGCTTAGTGGAATATTTAGTATAGGAAAGAAATTACTAGATCGAACATCTATATAGATTTATAATTAATTGCACAATAAACAATTTTACCAATTATTTCTGCTAGTATTTTTAGATCAAATTCACCTGATTATCTAACTCCCCAAATCTGATCACTTTATCCAACGACATTCTGTACGAAACATAAAATATTTACGTCATTTTGTAACTCTTACACTGTTTACACTGAGAAATTTCAGCTATGGGGATATAAATCACAAAACAGAAGGTTTTCTTTAAGATGACGTTTCTAGGCTTTGGAGTTTATCATCACGAATTCACTAGCTTCTGCCCCGGTTTCTGTCCGCTGTACCGGTACTTTCCTTTTTATATAAATCGCATTTTCTTTGAAGTACTCTTCAATCTCTGCCAGTTTCTTGCCGTGAGTTTCAGGCAGAAATATATACACAAAAATAAGTCCTCCGAGGGCCATGGCTGCAAAGAACCACTGCAGGGCATGGGCCCCACCAAGCAGATCCCTCAAGTCACGGTAACACTGGATGGAGAAGAACATAAGGATATGCGCCACAGAGATGGTAATGCCATGTGCCAGGCCACGGATTTCTGTTGGAAAGAGCTCGGCTGTCATAGTCCAGGGGATGCTGAGCAGCCCGATCATACTGGAGCAGACGTACAGCAGGACGCAGACCACGGGTACCCAGCTCATGCCTTCGCCACCTGCGTAAGAGGAAGCAAAATGAGAGCACAGGACAGAACAAGTTAGTTGGGCATCCTGTTGCGATGAGTTCATGAAAATGGCGTCTATATGTCCTCATGTCATACCTAACAAAGTAACTTCTACAGAAGCTGACAGTCGTTCAGATTGTCAAGATATTCGGCGCCTTTTATGTAACATGGAATTTCGTTACCTTATTCATGACTCTAAACTTTTGATTCCTATCTCGTGTGAGATTAATCCGCTACTGAAAGTCTACACTCACAGTTGTTGAGGGAATTTAATTTTCATTCGTAATAGCCCAATACAGCTTGAAGTAAATCTGTCATCCTGTATAAATGAAAACATATGATTACGAAAAAGGGACACAATACAACATGCACTTCTACATAATATCCACCGTTTCTGTTTGAAAATTTCTCCTGAATTTGGTGAAAGAACAAGAGAAACATAAATTTACAGTACATAAAAAGTATTATTTTTTATAAAGAAGAAACAGTCATACTTCGAAATATTAATTACATGAGTATGTGCAAAATTACCGAATAGTCTTCAGCGGTAGTTAATATCAAGTCATGTCCTTATATGAAGAAAATAATTTCAGTCACGATTAAAATTCGACTGCCTATCAACTGCAGTACACACGAAAGTACGTCTTTCAGGTAACCAATTTTCTTGTCTTTTGCAGCCTGCACAGCACTTCTCTTGAGTCATGGTCCATTCCTTTCTTTTAGTATCAGCCACCTAAGAATGAGTAAAACATCCAGACTATATAAAATAAGGTTCCTACTTTCTGATGCTCTACATTCGCAAGCTTGTGAAGTATCCGAAATTAAACAACCCAGTACTAATCTAAATATGGCAAGGTAAAGAGGAATTGAAGCTTTTAGAAGCAATGGAAACATATGATATACATGGAGTTACTATAGGATTCTGACGATGGTGTATAACACACTGATATATTGGGTTTTGGACTTTATCCATCGTCCTGGTTTTTAAGATAACTAATAAAAACACGACGTTTCGGAAACTGGATCTGTTTCCGTCCTCAGGTGAAGGAAAACACATATTCTGTTGGGTCCGTTAGAAAGAGCTAGCCTCAATCACTGGACGGAAACAGATCCAGTTTCCGAAACGTCGTGTTTTTATTAGTTATCTTAAAAACAAGGACGATGGATAAAGTCCAAAAACCCAATATATCAATATGATATACATGTTATGATGTGCATAACTAAATTCATATAAATAATTTGTAAATTAAAACGCACGCATAATTCCAAAACCTTAGCTCTATAAACGAAAGTGTTAAATTAGAAGTGGCAGAAGCATACACACTGACAGTATAATATCACGGCTGCTTCAGTGTTCAATCTACAACTGCTGAGAAATTGGTTAGATAGAAAGTGTAAGGCCTGGTGTGGTCACCACCGCAGTGATCTCCTTACTTTCTGAACAACCACGTTATCCGAAATTAGGCCTTTGTCCAAATTACCCTATTATTAGTTTTGTAACACCAAGGTTAAATTCTCAGTCAAATGAAAAATGATGGCCAGTGAAATGTGCAAAATAACAGCGAGTTCATGTGATTAGTTTGTGCAGGCCTATTCCACGTGAGAGCAGACTGATTCCTCAGTTTAGTGGCAGAAACAGTAGGAATGCCATCTGTTGACTGAAATTGAGGGCTGTGAAATTGTTAGAGCTGACAAAGGATCATGATGTATAGCAGAATTCTATCTTAGTCACAGTGAGACTTTAAGTTCTCCTGCCAGAATTTGTTTACCAGTTTCTAGGTCAGTCTGTGACTAAATGAGTAAGTTAGTTAGTTCGTAAACTACCTAGTTAATAACTAATGAGGTTAATAAGAGGGGAGTGAAAATTAGTGAGTTGATTAATTAAGCGCTTATCTCGTCAGTCAGTGAGTTTTTTCCTGTGGCGCTACAGCCCTAATTTGGGCCTAGGCCTAACTCCATGAAACTCTCCGTTTCACTTCGGTTTTTCTAGATCTTACACATACGGTAGGACTCCTTCGGCGAGTGATCAGCTCGTCGCAAGGCCTCTACCTGTAGACAAACACAGAAAAACGCACACAAACATCCATGCCCTGAGTGGGATTCGAACCCACGATCCCGGCTTCCGAGTGAGCGAAGACAGTGCATGCCTTAGACCGCTCGGCTACCGTGACCGGCCAGTCAGTGAGTTACTTGGTTCAATATTCGCTTTGTTATTCAGTCAGCGCTTTAGCTAACCACTGAGCAAGCGTCTTACTTAGTTCTTCAGAAACTTTCAGTTACTTATTCACAAATTCAGTTACGAAGTCAATGAATTACTTTGTTAAGTCCGCCGTTTGTTAGTTAGACAGTCAGGGACTAAATTAATTAGCGATTAGAGAGATATGTAGTCAGTCAATCAAGCAGCAGGAGAGTTAATTAATCATTGTTTAGGGGTTGATTTGGCTTAAGCCAGCGTGAGTCAATGAGTCAGCCCAGAATTTGGGGTTACTTACCATCGTTTATATACCATGTGATACAGCCCGACACGACCATGCACACGGCCATACCACAGGCACTCAACATGCAGAGGGGCCGGCGCCCGAAACGTCGCAGCAGAGCCGTGATGAAGAAACTCATGACAAGACGCATGATGCCCACGAGGATGGTCGCCATGCTGGGGTCCAAGCTGCTACCGACATCCTATGCACACACTAGGGTTCAAGTATAACAGGAATTTCTGGCAAGAGCTTATGACGTATGTTTGCCTTCAAATGTGTTATTTTACCTGATATGGCTAACTAAAGTCATGTAGATTACTGATACGATTTTGACGTTAAATTTGCAAAGACGTGATCTTAAAGTTTCGCATCTTCATCATGTCTGTAATTGTCAGTGTACAAAAGAAATATTTCATACAGAAATGGTAGGTACTTTCGTGACCCACGGTTCGCTAGATATTAACTTTTCATTGTTTATCGCTATCAAACTGGAAGCTAAATACAGATTTCGCTCCCAATTTTAACAAAATATCTCCACAAATTTATACATTTTCGAAGATTTGTTTTCACACAAAATTTCGGGACCTGTAAAATGTAGCTTCCACATCATAAGTTCACACGACAGCCATGTTTGTGTTATTGATGGCCGGAAATTAAATATATGCAAAGAATGTGTAGTATACTGCGGCATAAAGAGTTTCATAGGGTAAGGTTATATTCAACTCATCTATCCACTTAGTGAATTTCAACGTTAATTTCCGAATAGCCTTCGAAAATACAATAGTGAATTTCAAGAACCTTCCAGCTACCTTGACGTCGTTAATCCTTTGAAGACTGAGATTTTCACAGTTTTACTATCTTAATATAAGAAGTAAAGGAATCAGATTCATTCAGTGATAAAATCTTTTTTGTTAGAATTTGATAAGTCATTCAGCTTAGGCGAAACCTCACGTTTAAACCCATAGATTCGTCACTGTCATCACAAAATCCCATGTTGGCTACTAGTCTCAGCCTGTTCAGGCTAATACACACATCACTGCCTATATATTTATGTAAAATTCAGTATCGTCCCCCAGCCTGTCTAGGTATCTCAAATGGGCTCTTTCTGTGAAGGTTCGAGAGTGTGTTGAACACGCATTTGCAGCAAGCTGACAAGACGTAATTCCAGCTTGAGGGTTCTGTGCAGGGTACCTCAACCATAAAACTCAAGCACAATAAGAATTCTATCCATACTAAACAAAGCAGAAACAAGCCAAATACCTTGAATAGTTCGACTGAATAGAAGAGGGTTGTGTAGACGCCCGAGAACTGTTGAAAGAAGAAGAGCCCGAAAAGAACTAAGAGAGGTTTGTAGCCCGTTGAACGACCAAGCCCTGCAAGGCGTCCCATGAAGCCAGAGGTCACCAGGGCCTTCATGTCTTGTGACTTGACTAATGCAGCCAGCTGCTGTTCTGGCAAGGAACTCTGCAACAAAACGAGCAGCGGTTACAAAGCGAGTCTAAATCACTGGTGACAAAAATAGTAGCCACTGAAAAATTACATCTGCTTCTGTTACGTTCAGATATTATTGTGTAAATGTGGATCTTCAGCAATGTTTATTTTCTCGTATATTATACATGGAATATATTGCAATTGCAAGGAAGGAAGGAATGTGCGAACCATCGTACTCAATATATTGTAGTTACTAAGAACCTTATTTTGAAGCCACTTGTAATGTCATATCTAGACACTGTGGACCAGAATTTATGATATCGTGCCAAGATTAAGTATTAGTAAATTGACTGATTAATTATTAATAATATTATCAAGTGTTTTGGTATTCCATATCTAAAAATTAAGAATTTTACTTTTGGGGGTACCAAAAATTATTATTAATAAAGTTATTTTTTAGCCCGTTGGTATGTAATGTACGAGTATGTGTACATAAATTATTATTTTGGGTTTATGTTATCGTACCCGGGTTAATTATTAATAACGTTATTTTTAAGCCTTGTGTTATGTCTACAAATTATGAATCAGAGCTAAGCATACTTTCCCGAAATTGATTATTAATAACGTTATATTCAGGCTTCTATTGTGTCATATCTACACATTTGTTCAGTCACTGCGAATAATTGATAACAATTTAACAGTTCTGAATACACGAGTATTCATTTTCACGAGGTTATCAGGCACGGCATAATTTTACCTGTTGGAGATACGTACGTATGGATAGCCTTACCTTAGCTACAAAGGAGCAGTTTGATAGGCCTCTGTGCGCATGCTCTGCAGTGTATACATATAGGACACGGGGCATCTTGGATAGTATTACCTTCTCTCCAGCAAGCCACCTAACAGACCTCTGTGCTTCTTCTCTCCAGTGTTTATGTACAGTTAAAATAATACTGAATGAATTCTGCTGCTGGAGAGAGGCATGGATGGTGTTACCTTTTCTCCAGCGAGCCACTTGAGAGATTTCTCTGCTTCATCCACTCTCCCGCGTGCCACGAGCCACACAGGACTCTCCGGTATCCAGATGCTTATAAGTAACAGGGGAATTGCCACGTATATCACAGTTGTCCATGCTGCTGTTCTCCAAGTGAGGTACGCGCCTTTGATGTAACTCAGCAGCATACCTGTTGAGGAAGGAATCTGCTGTAACACTGTATGTGGTAGTGTCATTAAGAAGAACAGAGAAATTGTAGTGGAAGCTAGTGAGAAATTTCATTTAGAAATGAACGAAAAGAAAACTCAGTAATGCCCATGTTTCGCCAACAGAATGCGTGACCAAATCATAACATTAATAATGACTTCGAAAATGTGTCAAATTACAAATACTTGAGAACGAAACTAACATAACAAAAGATGATGATGATAAAATAAGGGTAGCTTAAATTCGGAAAATACTTGCTGCAGTTCTGGTCATAATTTTTTTTTTTTATTTTTAGTGTCTGAAATCACAGTTATTTTGTTTCCGGCGCTCTGGATTGGTTTGAACCTTAGTCTTCATTGTAAGAGATGAACAGGGCTATAATTGAAAGCAAAGGAAGATATTTAGGAAAGGGAAAGATGAATAGCAGAGATGTGGAGAAAATGAAATTTTGTGGAGCTTCATAATTTTGAATAGTATTTTAAAAATACTGTCAGAGCGAATATATGAAAATTGAGATGGGTAGGCGTGTAGAGAGAACGAGAAGTGATTGATTCATACGTAAATATAATAACAAATTTGAATTGAAACTTCGCAAGAGAAGCTCTCTCTCGAAATTCTGGGGCTTCGTGAAAGGATAACAATAAAATGACTTGGAGAAATAAGTAATATGAAAAGTACAAAATAGAACAAATTTCAAAGTAATGTTACACAGGATCAGCATGCAGATTTAATTTTACTGCGGGTCACGTGAGACTAGGTTTGCCAGTCAGAACGCAATGAATAGTCTTACCAAAAGACGCCAGTGTAGGACAAGTGGAGACAAGGGCACCGCGGAGCTCTGGCTTCGCCACTTCCGTGATGTACACTATGGCTGGGCTGGTACCAATTCCTGTGAAGAAGCACATATCATTGTATTACAGACAGGGATCTCGGCCGATGCCTGCTACTTAATCTGACTCGCTATTTAAAATTCTTCTTATTAGTTTTACACCACTAATAATTAATGATTTGCCATACTTGTATCATGTTGGTCCTGTGTGTGTGATGTTGTGTGCGAAGTATATTGGTGAACAGATGTCTCGTGGTAATGTGGGTTTATGGATGTTTGTATTTGGTGAGCGTGGGTAATTCTATAGGGGTATTTCTGTGTACTGTATTGCTATTTGCAGTAATATAAATTTGTGATTGTTTTCGTGAGCTTCTTGCTCGTCTGTTAGTGTATTAATGATTTTTGTATACACAAAAGAAATCAATGACAGCATATGGTTTAATGGGATATGTCAAAGTAAGGGACTTAAAAAAATTACGCAAAAATAAAAATAAAGAGTAATAACATAGCTAATCAAAAACACAAAAACAAAAGATTAAATATATAATTAATAATGTAATAAAATTTTAATAGGTTGAAACACAAAAATTCAACGGGCAATTATAAGAACAACATCCTATAACCGCAAAATATTGGCAAATCAACTGGATTTTAATCTTAGATAATATAAATAATAAATTGAACAAGGAATTAAACAAGCACTACAAAAATCTCAATAATAAAAACTAAAACATAATAATAAGGCAGAAACAAATAATTTTTTTTCAAATAAAAAGAATATTACATTTATCTATACAAACACAATAATACACTAATAGACGAGAAAAAGAACAGACGAAAACAATCATAGCAATATATTATTCGACATCGCCATAAAACATATAGTCACATCCCCATAGAACCACCCTTGCCTATGCCCATACAAACACTCTTACACCCACATTATCACGAGACATCACGTCATCAAAACACCTCGCACATAACACCAAAACCCAGCCCACACATACAGGACCAACATAATAGAGGTATTGCAAAATATTAATCATTAGTTGCTAATGTAATAAGAAGGAATATATTATCGAACATGTCTATATTATGTTTGCACATATATGTCGGCCTATAAAATGTACATACAAAGATAAGAACAGATGTAGAACTGAGCACTATAGTATGAGTTTATTTGGAGAAGACTTACTGTGAAGGAACATGACCAACATTGGGACCCACAGCAAGATCTGATCGATCAAAAAATCCTTTTATTTTTAAGAAAACATATTTTAAATACTAGTTCTTTAACCGGGGGGGGGCACGCGGTAGCGTATTTGGTTGGGACATACGCTACAAGCCGGAAGGTCGCGGGATCGAATCTCGAGGAAGTCATTGGATTTTTTCAATTTACCTAATCCTTCCAGCCGCACTATGGCCCTGGGGTCTACTCAGCCTCTAACAGAAATGAGCACCAGGAATGTTCTTGGGTGTAAAGGGCGGCCGGCGCGTAAGGCTGACAACCTTATCGCCATCTGTGAGCCGATTGTCTAGAAAATGTGGGAACCTCAACATCTCACAAACTTATGGGCCTCCACGGCCTGTTACAGGGATACCTTTATTTTTTTACTTAGGTCTTTAACCTTTACAGGATAACACATGTACATAATGCACGCGACGCATTTCGTTTCAAATGTTGGTCGCATTCCGATGACGGTCATCAATGGCCGAAACATGTAAAGGCTCTATATTATTATTAAAATCATTGTTCTATTCAGCGGAATTCAATCCTAATTCTACTGATATAAGGGGTCCTGATGAAAGGTACCCAAAATAAAAAATTATATCTCGGAAACTGTCACACAAGTATCCGGTTTATGTCATCGGAAAGGAAAATTCTGAAAGTATTTCTTCTCATACCCGACTTACGCGCAAACACCGCCACATTTTTGCCACCATGTCAGGAATCACCTTGAAAGAGATATGACTGATATGAATTGGCAGAGGTGGACCTATCGCTTGGCCTCCTAGGTCGCCAGATTTAACCCCGGAGGATTTCTTTCTTGTGGGGTTATGTGAAGACCATTGTTACCAGGTTAAGATCAACGACCTTTAAAATCTGGAAGCCCGAATAAGGGACACCAAACATTCTTCAAGCCTTGATATTTGTCGTGCCACCAAGGGAGCCAAAATATAAATTTATTCAGAAAGTTATATACGCAGAAAAGAACTTTGATAGTTTCCCTTTGTAATGGTGTAACCAATTAACGTGCATGATAAATTCTTTCTGAGATATAATGATTTTATTTTGGATAGCTTTCATCCGGACACTCTGTATATTCGGCGCATTTAGCCTAAACATATTATAAAACATTCATAGAAATATATAGAATAAAACTATTTTAACACGTTGTCTAGGAATTTCACGTTAAGAATTGTGACTAAATTTTGAGAAATTTGACCTGCGTTTAAATGAGGAGAGGACAACAATTCTTATATCTCGGGACGGCTCACCGGCTTGAGCCGGACCTTCTGGTGTTATACAGCGTTGAAAAACTTCCGGTAGCTGCGTTTGTATTGAAACAAGTTTCATGATTCCAAATTTTAAAATACCATGAAAGAAAATCTGTATTGCTAAGCAACTATCTGGCTAGTCACGGTAGCCGAGCGGTCTAAGGCATGCACTGTCTTCGCTCGCTTGGAAACCGGGATCGTGGGTTCGAATCCCACTCAGGGCATGGATGTTTAGTTTGTGTGCGTGCGTTTTTTCTGTGTTTGTGTACAGGTAGAGGCCTTGCGACGAGCTGATCACCCGCCCAAGGAGTCCTACCAAATGTGTAACATCTAGAAAAACCGAAGTGAACGGAGAAGTTCATGGAGGTAGGCCTAGGCCCACTGGGGCTGTAGTGCCAAGGGGAAAAAAAGAAGTAACTATCTAATTAGCCAATACAGAACAACCATCTGTGTGCGTCCTGAGTGCGAACACGCGTATGCCAAACTAGCAAGCAGCTAAGTAGCTAACAAACTACTTTTCTAGACAAAGATATTACATTCTCTAATGAACTGATGAATTTACTAGCTGACTAGCTAACTGACTGGAGAATTTTGGTAATATAATCAAAAGATTCATCAAAATTAACAAAAAATCTCGCTCTTGAACACAACCGTCAAACAGTTCATTGTGGTTCTTCGTTCATAGTACGTTTAAGTAAGATTTATGTTAATATTATTCTCCAGGTTTTAGATTTGCAAAGAGAGACCCTTCCAAGTTTCCTTCACTAAAAAGTTATAGGCATCTATAGCCCACGCCCGCCGGTCACGGTAGCCGAGCGGTCTAAGGCATGCCCTGTCTTCGCTCGCTCGGAAGCTGAGATCGTGGGTTCGAATCCCACTCAGGGCATGGATGTTTGTGTGCGTTTTTCTGTGTTTGTCTACAGGTAGAGGCCTTGCGACGAGCTGATCAGAGGCCTTGCGACGAGCTGATCACTCGCCCAAAGAGTCCTACCGTATGTGTAAGATCTAATAAACCGAAGTGAAACGGAGAGTTTCATGGAGGTAGGCCTAGGCCCAAATGAGGGCTGTAGCGCCAAAGGAAAAAAAATAGCCCACGCCCCTTTGCCCTCCTGAGATAGATTCATAAATATTGTAACGTGTTTAGGCTTTAAAGATGATGCTGTTTCCGATGACTGGCATTCGTCGAATTATCTCTTTATTCGCTCAAGCTTTCCAGGGCAATTAATTTATAATTAGCCGGAAAAGGTTTGTTTTGCAGCAGGAATACTGGGTTGGAAGGCAACAAGGAGGAAGTTCGAGAACTATATCGTGTAATGAGAGGGAAGCAGACCGAATTTTAATAACCTGTGCTTCGTAGACTGGCAAATGTTGTTCTTCTTATATATTTTTCTATGATTACAGCCGCATTTTAGACGCGTGCCTTTGTGTGTGTATCACAAGCATAAGTATAAATTTTGTATTGAAATTTCTTCTTTTAATTTAGATGTCACAAGTACGGTGGCGACAAACACTCGACGTTGCGTCTGCAGTATGGTAGGAATTTATAACATTGTGCCTGCGCCCAAGCACCACAGTATGTAGGCAAAAACACTCCGGAAATTCGGTTCACAGAGTCGCACACGGTTCAGTTAGAAGCAGTCCGTTCTCCGTCCACTTCACAATCGCAGGAAAAGTTCTCAGTGTCCATCGGACAGGAGGCTTGGTGGACACAAGAGGTACTCTGGATTTGGTAGTGAAAAGAATAATTTGATCCTGTCGGGATTCGAATCTACTGCCATCACTTTATCCACTGAGCTGTCCTGGTTCAATGTATGGACTAAAGAGGCATTAATGTGTGACTGCTGCTACTACCTGCCGCGACGCCTGTCAGAAGCCTGCCACACAGTACCACGCCGAAGCTGCTGCCTGTGGCTATGAGGAACCAGCCCAGGAGGCAAGGCACTGCGGCTATCTTGATCGTGTTTAATCGGCCCACATACTCCATGGCGAAACCGGCCAGCAGGGCTCCGATTGGAACCACGAGCACCAACACACTGGCTGCAACAAACCAAAAGTGAACAGGATAACATAGGCCTAGCGAGTACAGTACTTATCTTCTGGATACGAAGCCGTGTATTCTGGTAGGAGTTTATCGAGGTTTCAGGTGAACGAACTAACTCCATCTATACGGTAGACGAACAAGCCTAGCAATGAAGCAAAATATCTGCAGACTATACGGCTTTGTATATCGCTATCCTTGCGCAATTTCTTCTTAGTTATTGTATCCAGGTTCAAGGTTTATGAAATACGCCTTTTGTGAATACTTCTAAGCACCCTGCAAATAACACAATTCAACAGTTCCTTCATCTTGTATGGTAGTGTCTATCGATTCAAATGTTCCTTGAAATCACCTTTTATGTATCCTGTTATAATTCAACAATTTCTTTTTTTACTTTGAGAAATATGATAGTAAAAAGATATAAAAAAACATTCTTTTCGTCTCAGACTTAAAATTAATGAGGCAAGTTTCTTGTAAACATATTCTACTAAACATTCTGTTTCTAATTTCTTAAAGGAAACAATTTAATTGGATGTAATAAACAGATTTTTAAATGATGATGTAATCCTAATTACCTAACCATGGCGTATCTTCTTTATTGATTTCAAGGTCACTGTCAGATGCTTCTATTTGTGGAATTAAGATGGCTGAATAAGCGAGGGAGAACCCCACTGCGACGTGGAAAGATCCTGCAGAAATTGCAGCAAAAATCTGAAATCATAATTCACAATACGTTAAAATTAATTTAAATGTATTTAAAAATATGAATATTTTATGGGAAAATGTCTAACAAATTTCTATCTTGGAAACAGTGGGTTATATTAAGATGAATCTCGGAAAAGAAATTGGGGCACATATACTTATTTTCAAAATTGTTTATTTCGTGTTATTTTATCGATATATTTTTATCTTGAAGTAATTTAATGCAGATAGAATCAAGTGTATTTTTGATAGAACTAACAATAACACCGCATAAAGACAAACATAATTTTCCCGTGAATTTCTTTAATTAATTGCAGTATCGAGCAATGATTTTAAATCGTGAAGAAATCTGTTTTCATGTTATGCACCAAGTTTTCTTCGTTGTTTTTCATTCTTACTTTACAGTTTGATATGAGCTTCATGTTTATTAGATACTGCACTGAACTGATGTGCGCCAAAATTAAATTTTGCTATAAAATTTTCATTGCAGATATCCCGTGCCAAATTCAACCAAGATTCAGCGAGTGTTTTCGGAGCTACAACATATTGGCTGTACCACGTAAGCTACACTAACAGATTCACTCTATTTGTGCATTCCTTTAGGTAAGAAACACACAGCAAAATTCTAAGAATTTCATTAGGCCTGTACAGGTATGGGGAAGCAGGAATTTGGAAAAGTCTTAATAAGTAAGATTTCTGAGCGTCAACAGTAACTTGTACGACCACCATCCCTCATGGTACTAAAAATTAAATTACCGGTCGTTTTGCACACGTCATTGAAGGAACTATATATTGCTACAGATAGAAATACAAGTAGACCGTATGGATAATATCAGGGGTTTTCGAAAAATTATTCCACATCTACCGAGGATCGAGGTAGCATTTAAAATCCGTTCCATTCTCATCCTGTGGGATATGAAGACGAAGACTTAGACTCCACGAAGCAAATTACTTTGTTCCGAACTGTCGAGAATTTTAGCTAAACACGTAATATGACTACCACACATTCAGAAACAAAAACGACACATGCTTTTACATACATACATACATACATAGCATTCCATAGATCCATGAGCTAGTCAGATGACCTACCGGATGTGGAATTTGTTAAAGTCTCCCATTCGATGGGACAGGCTGGTGAAATATTAACACCGCTGACGCTTAGTCTGTATTTATCCGGATCGAATACCTCTTCACTGAGGTTTATAATGATCCTCCTAATTCTCCGAGATATTACATTCAAGTAGACAGCCTCCTTCCTTACCTCCTTACCTTACCTCGTATAATTCCATCTCATTCAATATTTTTAACTCGAACACTTGAAACAGCGTCGATAAACAAATTAGGAATCAGCCTCTGTCGGTTTAAAATAAGGCAAAAATTCTTGAACTTCAACATTTGTTTGCACGAAGTCCATAATAGTAAATTTATATGGATATATTTTGACGGTCTGGATATTTGTCCGTTCGCATGTTTCATCTCCGAAGGACACAGCCGGTTTCGATAATATTTGATGTAGGATATCTTCACTGACTTCTGTTAGGCTAAATTTAATTTGGGTTCATATCGGTCCAATATGAAAGCAATTTTACACAAAACTAAAATTTAATTATATACGTCTTATCGTAAAATATCATAAAGCATAATAAAATACAGAATACAAAGATGTCATAATTTTATTTGAAATATTTTTGGATGTGGTGTTACGCTTAAATAAATGCAAGGCAAATTAATTGGACTCCTAAGCAGTGTTATGTCTGTAGTGTTAATAGATTTGCAACAGTATAATTGAATGTATGCCAACCACAATGGTAGCGCGGTGTAAGGTATGAACTATCTTCGCTCGCTCGGACGCTGGGATCATGGGTTGGAATCCAACTCAAGGCATGGATGTCTGCCTGTGCGTTTATTTTGTGTTTGTGTTGTCCTTTGTGCAGGTAGCGACCTTGAGACGGGCTGTTCACTCGTCCAAGGAGTCCTACCGTCTGTGTAAAAATGGTTACGAAACTAAAGAAGAGGTCAGGGCCCAACAAAGGGCTGTAGAGCCATTGACGAATGACTGAATGAATGAATATAATTATCTAAGACATGTAATTAGATACAAGCGCTTTTGTATTAAAATCAACAAGTATCTTGGGAAATAGAATTTCTTTAACCATTAAATGAAGCAGCTTAATATACTCCTCCATAGGTCATGGGGAGACAAGAGGTCCAGCAAAAAGTTCCCGGCCTGGAGTGAAAAAAAAATGGAAGGAAATATTTTTTTTTATTCCAAATAATTCCCGCATACTTGAATAACTTCTTTGAAGCACTGAAAAAGTTTTTGAAAATAGCAAAGGCCTCCAAAGAACAACGTTCAGTTCGACAGTCACGTTTTTCTCAATGTCTTCAACATCGTGAAGCCTCTTTCATTTATGCCCGTTTTTACCTTGGGAAAGAAAAAAATGCAATAAATAAAATGTGGATTGTCTTGACAAGTCTGGATGGAGTCTTGGCATGATGTGAGTCTCCGCTGCTTCTGCTCGTCCGTCAGTCTGTGTGGGACGAAAGATCTTCCTCTTCCGAAAGTATTCATGTAGGATTTGACGAATCTTCTACTAACTGATGTTTAACCCATCCGCGATCATTCTGAGAGCCCATCGTCGATCTCGTGTAACCATTTCATGGACATCTGTGATTGTGTCTGCATTTCGAGAGGCTGAAGGACGTTCTCGTCTTAGATTATCCTGAACATTCTCATGACCAGGGCCCGGATTTTGATGATATGTCATCTTTTTTCCTTGTATCCTATGCGATGCTCTTGAATATATAAATCTCGGATATGAGCTGCTGGTTACAGAAATGTAAATTTTTGTCATTTTTTTGACATTTTTAAGTTTAAGGTCATTTTTCATTTTGGGGGTATTTTTTTTGGAAAATGTTTGGACTTTTAAGGGTATTTTTTTCATTTTTGGCCATTTTAGGGATTTTTTCTTCATATGTTTTCTGAAATGTGAATAACATGGAAGCAAAGTGTTCTTTCTTTTCTCCTTTAGGTCATTTTTTGTATTTCTTCTGTCATTTTATAGGTCCCATTTTGAATATTTTAGGTCATCAAAATCCGGGCCCTGCATATTACATTTTTGGGTCATATTTTAGGTCAATTTTTTTTATTTTTTCCGTCATTTTATAGGTCATTTTTTTAAATATTTTCAGGTCATCAAAATCCGGGCCCTGCATATTACATTTTTGGGTCATATTTTAGGTCAATTTTTTTTATTTTTTCCGTCATTTTATAGGTCATTTTTAAAATATTTTCAGGTCATAAAAATCCGGGCCCTGCTCATGACCATCTTTACATCGTTTAAATCGCTTATACAAGCTGCTACTACTTAAGGCTTCATCGGAATAATCAGTTTTCAAAATTGTATTGGTGTTTTACCCAGTAAAGTAAAATAGTAAGTAAAGCTATCCCTATAACAGGCCGTGGAGGCCCATAGGGTTGTGAGATGTTGAGGTTCCCACATTTTCTAGACAATCGGCTCATAGATGGCGGCAAGGTTATCAGCCCTACGCGCCGACCGTCCTTTACCCCCAAGAATATTCCAAGAATATTCCTGCTACTCATTTCTGTTAGAGGCTGAGTCGACCCCAGGGCCATAGTGCGGCTTGAAGGAGTATGGCATTTGAAAAAATCCAATGACCTCATCGGGTATTTTGCCCAGTTAAAAACAAAATATGGTACACTCTATTTGCTCCATGGATAAAACAGTGACATCAGTTAAAACACAACAAACTCTCTGAGGTGCTACTTACGAAGTGTCAGTCATCGGACTCGATAACGCCTGCCAGTCGTTAGCGTCGTTAGCAAGATGTAGAACTACACTTAATTCGAAGTAGTTCGTTTTTTTCCCCCTTGGCACTACAGCCCCAGTGGGCCTAGGCCTATCTCCATGAACTCCGTTCACTTCGGTTTTTCTAGATCTTACACATATGGTAGGACTCCTTGGGCGAGTGATCAGCTCGTCGCAAGGCCTCTACCTGTAGACAAACACAGGAAAAAAGCACATACACAAACTAAACATCCATGCCCTGAGTGGGATTCGAACCCACGATCCCGGCTTCCGAGCGAGCGAAGACAGTGCACGCCTTAGACCGCTCGGCTAAGTTGACCGGCTGTAGTTCGTTTTACCGCCACCAAATATGATTGCTGCAGCACCAGTCCGAGAACCCAACTGCCACACATCGTATAAGCACAAAGTGAACTACTTATGTAATGAGACACAATTGCATTTAACCTTAGATGTTTAATCTTTAAACAATCACCAAGTCGGTTCTTTCGTCTTATCGCAATAATCGATAAAATGTGATAATTATCGTGTCAACAGATAACAATTTAGGCTAGAGAACTTTCCAAGAACGTCCCTTTCTTAATAACTGTAACTAATCTCAAAGAAAGATACTGAATCGACTGAGGAGCCGTGAATTCGAATTCCATTATATAACGCATTTCGAATTTCAATTACCTGTATTGTGACTTTATGCAAAGGGACAAGGGCAATTACATTTATATATTAGTTACTATAGGATTCTGACGATGGTGTATAACACACTGATATATTGGGTTTTTGGACTTTATCCATCTNCTTTCCAAGAACGTCCCTTTCTTAATAACTGTAACTAATCTCAAAGAAAGATACTGAATCGACTGAGGAGCCGTGAATTCGAATTCCATTATATAACGCATTTCGAATTTCAATTACCTGTATTGTGACTTTATGCAAAGGGACAAGGGCAATTGCATTTCTACAGTATTAAGAGACGTGTCAGATTGGAAGGAAACAGAAAAATAAGTCAAATATTTATTCTGTAAATGGCAAAATATAAGATTACATAGATACATAAATAATTGAACCATTTGGAGAGACTAGTCAGTGGCAGACCCACAGCTAGTACACCTCAATACAATCAGAGGGCTACAGAAGCTTTCAGCGACTGATAAGAGATGGAGGTGAAGTCATAACAGGCTTCAGGGAAGCCCCTGTATGAGAACAATCTGATGTCTCTAAACTGTTTCATCATTTCGTTCGCATGCTTCTTGCAAATTACTGAAAACAGGTTACCAAAGCAGTAACAAATTGTTCGAAAATTTCCGGTTTCAATCTCAGCTACAGCGCTGCATAGTCAAGCTTAATTCATTTAGTTCTTCTTAGTCCTTCAGAACGAATTCCGGGATGGCATCTCCAAAAAATCTACGGCCGCTTCCTGTCTCATCCCTTCCAGGTCACAGAGCACAATCATCCTGCCTGTCTGCTACTTAAATTACTAATCCTCTTGAACATGACAGCGTCAAATTAACTACGGCCAACATAATTAACCTACATAAGGGTTTATCGCTTCTCAAAAAATGTATTTGCAAATAAAATTGATGCACTATGGAGAAGCAGTGTTTGTCTGCATGTCTGTATATAGGACTACGCTTCTGTGTCGAAAACTGCTGACAGATTTCATTAAATCAACATTAAATATTTATCGGAGTGTTTAATTTCGGTTTCTGTCTAATATAGTACCCCTACTTTACATAAAACAAGTATACTATATTGATTATGCTCTAAAAATACTAAAAAATAAACTCCGTGGTGTTTATCCGCATGCGAACTATACCGACCGAGCGACCACCGCTTGTCGGCGAAGTTAGTGCCAAATCTAGCGGATAGAGGGTGTCGCGTGGTCAGCGAAGCGAATCCTCGCGTCTGTTAATTTCGGTTTTCCAGACCGGAGCCGCTATTCTCTTGAAATAGCTCCTCAAATATCCTCACGAGGCTGAGTAGACCCAGTTCCAGACACGCTACTTCTCAGAAAATCTGGTAGCACCGGGAATCGAGCCCGAGACCTCTGGATCTGTAGGCAGAAACTCTGGCCACTAGACCACAGAGGTGGTCATGTAGTTCTTGTCACGGTGAATCACTTATTTTTAAAAAAAAAAAAAAATCTTATTCTTTCTCTAGGTATAAGTGATAGCAAGTTTCTTGAAGAAAAAGAGTCAGGCTAGGGAAAAATTAACGTGGTGTTTATTTACTGGAATCATCATCATCATCATCAATAATCTGTCAGACGACAGGTCCACAGTTTCTTCCAAAACAATTCCTCCACTTAATGCGATCTAGAGCTTTCTCCTTCAAATGACAGTATCCTCTTCTGTCCCCAAGGTCATCCAGCATCTTCTTACGTCTTCTTCCTCGTCTTCTTGAATATAATGAAAAACTAATATATTTACCTAACAATTGTACGTCCGCGCTGTGTATTAGATTCTGAAACAACATAAATTGTGGCTCTGTGCGGTATAGTTTCTGTATTGTTGATTAGCCTTGCAGGAGTAGATTTGTATCTGCATTAAATGAATGAAAAGTATATTAAGGTTTGCCAGGTTGTAAAGAACGTATCTGGGTTACTGTTTTCCACAATTTTCGTATTACACAAAAATAATATTTTGTACGTGTATTACCTGAGGTAAAACGGATGGAGCTTCCTGGGTGGTTGGTTTGTAAACGACGGAAATGCGACTTGACACAACTTCATATGTTTTCGGTTTCGTTTGCTGTATTTCAGGTTTCCCTCCAGACTCCAGCCACGGTTTGGTTTCCTCTTCTAAACTGAAACAAGAAAGTGATATTCATAATACAGATTCTTGACTTTCATGGCGAGATTGAGCGGCACTAAAAGAAAATTAAATATATGTAACTCGTCTAATCTGTGCTTGCAGGTCGTGTTTTAATAGAGCAAATAAAACAAACCTGATCTCAACGCAGTTCAAACTCAATCAGTATTTTTTTTCCTTTGTTTTACTTTCTTTATTTCCTTCGATACTGGCTTGAATGCCTGGAACATTTATTTTCGTGTAGATCCGCCAAATATGATACAGGATAACAGATTGCGGAAGCATGAAAATTATATTTTAATTACATGTATTTACGTAGGTTGCCTGTAGTTCTGTATGGGCGTGAAACTTAGTCTCTGACATTAAGGGAGGAACACAGACCGAGGGTGTTTGAGAACAGGGCGTTGAGGAAAATATTTGGACCAAAGAGAGATGAAATGACAGGAAGCTGGGGAAAATTATATAATGAGGAGCTTCATAATTTGTACTCTTCTCCAAATATAATTAGAATGATGAAGTCAAGGAGGATGAGATTGGCAGAGCATGTAGCACGAATGGGGGAGAAGAGGAATGCATGTAGTATACTGGTGGGAAAGCCAGAAGGAAAGAGACCACTAGGAAGACCAAGACATAGGTGGGTGGATCATATTAAAATTGAAATGAGAGATGTGAAGGGATGGTGTGGATTGGCTTGATCTGGCTAAGGATATAGACAATTTGAAGGCTCTTGTGAACACGGTAATGAACCTTCGGGTTCCATAAAATGCTGGGAAATTCTTGAGTAGCTGCAGAATTGGCGGCTCCTCCAGAAGGGCTCAGCTCCATGAGTGAGTGAGTGATTTATGTATGTGCGTATAAACTTGTAAATTCAGTGTGAACAAGCTCCGTTTAATTATTATCGAGGACAGGAGAGTGCTGTAATCTTCGCTTGTGTTCGAGGAACCGCTGCTGATTGGTCGGTCTGTAATCGTCGCGTATGGATCACTGATAGAGATAGTTTTAAAAAGATCCTGTACAAGTCATTGAATTCAGATAGAGTTCTTTTGTTTAATTATCTCGAAACCCGTAAAGTACGCGAAGAGTATACTAGAAATGAAACATTTGTCCCAGTTTCCCTTACAAAGTTTGCTCCCATATATATTTAGCGAGTTAAGCTCAAGATACTAGGAGACATGCATGTAGGTTTCATGACAGGTGTCTGTTATTTTTGTTCGATTTCAATCTTAATTTAAATTTATAGATACATTTTAGTAACTAACTCTAGGGGGCTAAGCCTTTCTTGAGAAGTCGCTTAGCTACTCAAGAATCTTCCAACATTTTGTGAACCAACGAAAGTTTATTACCGTGTTTACAAGAGCCCTCCTCTGATCTCTATCCTGAGCCAGATGAATTCAGTCCATAACACCCCATCCTATCTCTCTAAGATCCATCTTAATATTATCTTACCACCTATGTCTAAGGCTTCCTAATGGTCCGTTTCCTTCTGGATTTCACACCAAAATGCTATATGCATTCGTTTTCTCCCCTACGCGTATTGCATGCCCTGTTCATCACATCTTCCTTGACTACATCATTAAAATTATACTTGAAGAAGAATACAAGTTACGAAGCTCCTCATTATGCATTTTTCTCCAACCTCCTATCACTTCATCCTCTTTCGGTCCAAATATTCTCCTCAAAACACTATTCTCAAACATCCTCGGGCTATGTTCCTCCCTTAATTTCAGAGACCCTTTGTGATATTTCGTAACAATTTTTTTTTTTTACGGTAAGGACTTGTTAGCCCCGCGCGCAACCCACAAGCTTGAGGACCACCTGTTGTCGGATGTCCGCGACTGCTCATTCAATATATTCACAGTTACTTTGCATATCTAGAGACCGTCTTCTCCACCCGCAACCTGAGGACGCGCCATGCCGTGATGACAACACACCCCCTTAACATGGTATATTTTAGTAAAAGTTCCCAAATATTGCATTTAATGAAAATCCGTTTAGCCGTTCTCGGGTTGTGGCATATGTACTTCAGTCGGGCTGATGCAGATACTCCTACTTTTAACAGAAGCTCGGTAGGTTTGCGAAAGAACATAAAGATGGATGTTCTATTAGCGGAGAACGTAACGATTGTGAAGGGACGCGTACAGATAATATTGCGGTGTACTTGCCCGAGGCGAGATCGGTTGAGCCACAGAAACAGCCGTTTACAACAACACACGTACCAACAATGGAACAGCGAGGTTATGGAACTCGTTTGTAGGCAACACCTCGGTAAATACACCTCTGCGCAGGATCAGTGACGTCACACTCCAACAACACTTAGCTATCACGTGACTTGCTTTCTGTGTGGTGTGTGCTACGCAACAGTAAACTGTGTTTTCTGTGTTCTCCGTGCCGCGGCCATATAACACGATTCCGCCTGCAGTCAAGGAGAGTTTTTGGTTGGATTTCGAGGTTTCAGGGTGATTGAACAAGAAATTACAAGAAGACTTCATAATGATTTGAAGTGCTAGTTTCTATGTTGAGATCCGTTGCTAGAAGACAAGTGGAAACTGAGAATCCTAGTGCGTTTGCGCTCTAAATTATGTAAATCAGCGATAGCTCTTCATTAATTGTAATTAAGAGAGATTGTACAGGAAGTGCTAATTAATCTAATCATCCGAAACAGTAGCCGTTATTTTCGGCACGCGTACCCCCTCCGCATGACAGTATCGAGGCAGTAACAATTTAACGATGAGACAGCGATAGAGTTTGATGAGACAACACAACAGGGCTGTACAAGATGCCACTGCTACTACCATGGTTTTAACCGATCGATTATCTAAAGGTTTATGGAAACAGTTGATTCATATTATCGGAAATTGTATTATATTGATCACGTCCGTTGTCTGAGATATATTCAACATACATGAATTGGACCTAGTCATAGGGTAACCGGTTGCGATTGTAGTGGCTGATTAATTATTACTGTTTAGAGGACAGTGTACTAATTTAATATTCAGAAGGTCTCGCGTTTATTAGCCGCCACTGATCCTAAAAGAAGAAACAGTCTGTCAGTATAATGACAACCAGTCACCTGATGACAGCCAAGCAAGTCTGGAAATGTCATGTCATGTCGTCAAACGTATAAATGTTGCTGAGTTTAAAACGTGCCGGCACAACTAATCGGATCGCAGCACACAGGTTGAGAAAAAACAGACTTGGTTCATGGCCTTGACTCTGTAACTTGCACTGACTAGTTATGTCCCGAACAGCTGTTTCCCTGCTGATGGTACCACGTGGCTGGTGATTCCCTCTCTGTCCACCTGTTACGTCACATTCTTGCTGGTTCATTGTCGGAGTGAGAACGTTACGTCACGCCTGCCTAAGCATGTGCAAGATTTTGTGAAACTCTTTTGTATTCTCATAACTGAAATTTTGCCCTTCCTCAGCCATTAACCCACTCCTTAATTATCTGTTACAGAAATTTAGTGATGGTCTGCAAAGATTGTTCTTGATATCTGCTGATCACTATTTACGCTTTTAATTATATTATTTAAACGTCGATTATTCAGGAATGACACGTTCATATTTCCCTTCGTCAATGACATGGCGTTTCGCCCATATCGGCAGTGGACAGCTGAATGAAGTAATACAAAATGGTGGATATATCGAACAAGAGGAATCGATATGGTCCTCCTTTGCAGTTCATGCAATATCATTATTGCCGATTTAATCGATTTTGAGCTACGAAGATTAAAGATTAAATCTTTTGGGGGTTCAGTTTACAATGCTCTCAGCATGTAGACCACCAGCGATGACCACGCTTCCCCCCCCCCCAATTTTTTGCACGAGGGTCAAATAAAAAACCTCGAAACTCCGTGTGAGTTGGAAGTTAACTGAAAACAATTACAATTTTTAAACAAAATTTCACATTAAGATTCTAAGCGACAAAATTAATATGACTAATTCAGTGTCAAATATAAATACATTTCTAGGACTTGTAATGAATTGTACTTACTCCTTGGACGAGTGATCACCTCATCGCAAGGCCTCTACCTAAACACAGAATAAACACACATACAAAACATCCATGCCTTGTGTGGGATTCGAACCCGCAATCTTGACTTCCGAGAGAGCAAAGACAGTGCATGACTGCCTTAGACCGCTCGGCTACCGTGACCGGCGTAATGAATTGTAGAGTGTGTGAATTGGCGACAGCACTAGAATTATTTGTAGTTACGAATTGTAAGTGTGTAGTAAATACGATTACCAAACCAGATCCCGTGTCCAGCCACAAATCACGTGAGAGCACAGCCTGTAGGCCTGTTATATAAGCATATACGTGTACATTTCTGTGAGTTTCGAAATTGAGGGCAGGCACAAAGTTTTATTCCGCAGTCACAAGTAGTACCGTATTTCTGCAGCCGACAAAACTCTCGTGTTTACATCTAGTGCTTTATATCTAGTGGCTTTCATGTAGTTGATATTGACAGATCGCATGTATGCTATTACACATGAACTAAAGTCGTGTTTGCAAGTGTCCTTCTTTTATTTCAAAGAAGATTAAATATGAGGTTAAACAAGATTCTGAAAACAAAAATTACATAAAGCGCAGGAATTGTGTGAGCAAATAATCATGGTCTATTGTCTAAACGCAGATACGTGTTCATTCATTTGCCTTGTCAGTTGCCTAGTTGCATAGTCTACTACTTGCTTTACTCATTAGCCAGTTACATGCTTCCCAAATCGGGGGCTGCAGTCCCCTAAGGGGACGAGAACCCTTTTTCGGGTACCACTAAAATGGATCTATAATAAAGTGCCAATTAATTTTTGTCCTAAATAATAATAATAATCCGAAAATATTATGCGAAATTTATTAAATAATATAATATGTTAAATAGAGAAAATTAATAAATTATATATATTACGCCACTTTTTTATTGGGGGCCTCAAAAATTTTTGTTCACACAATTGGGAGCCTCAGCCTAAACCAGATGGGGAATCGCTGAAGTAAATAGC